AAATAATAAAATATTTAAAATAATAAAAATTTGTTATGTATTTAATTTAAAAAACAGAGGAGGTAAAAATTTAATCTTATTTAAATTTAAACTGATAAAAACCTAAAATACTATTATATTAAAATTTGAGAAGAACTATAGTCCCTTCCACTCTCTATATGCGTTTGTACTTACTCACGTTTAGTTATGATTTTACAGATAATTTAATTTATGGTATAAGAAGTGGTGTGACATTCAGATCCGAAATAATATATATTTTCTAAATGATATAATAGCTGATTTTTTTTTACTTTAAAAAGTAAATTGAGATTAATTATAATATGATAACTTATTGATAGTGATCTGTAATAATTTGTCATGTTATTTGACGTTGATGGATTGAAACATGATGTTGATTTGTAATAATTAGTTGTAAGTTTGTCTAAATGAGCATGAATGAGAGTATTATGGATGAATGGTTTAATTTTGTGTTTTGTATCATGTCTTAAATGACCTATTATAGACATTGTGACCAATTGATACTTTTAGGTAAGGTTGGTATGTAACATAGATATGTACTTGTACGTCAAGTATGTTTATTTTTAGCTTTTTATTATATGTTTATTTTTAATTTGATTTAATGCTTAGGTTAATTTTTGTGTTTATGGTATTGTTTTTATCATATATATATGATATGTTGGTAATATGTTGGTACGTTGTTGGTATGTTAAATTTGTATTATTTAATTTAAATTAATTAAATTATACAAATGATTTAGAAAGTTCGACTCAAATCGACGATGCAGCAAGAAATCTAAACGAGGATATGGAGGAGACAGTCTATAGAGATCAGTGTCAAAGGAGTCAGCAAAATTAATTGGCACACAAAACGGCAAGCCTGATGATTTGATATTTGTGTCTGTGTGCTTTCTAATTTGACAAATGGCTACAATCATTGATGCATGGATTTAGTTGGGTAGGAGACACGTCGGTCCACACCGACCTCATTAACCATACCAGCCATTTGGTTGTCAGGATTGGGTCCTAGACATATTTATTTTTGTTATATCATAACCATGATTTTCAGAACCGGACCGATTAACGAACCGGTCATTATATTTAATAAAAAATAATTTTTATCACAGTCATAACATATATAAGTTAAAAACATAAAATCAAAGTGAAACAAAATGATTCAAATTAACTACAACATAATATTTAAGGTAAAACATATTAAATAATAAATATAATTATATAACTATAATTAAAAAATAAATTTGGGGTTAAAAAAATCATAACAAAATGATATTGTTTGATTTAATTTTTTTAAAAAACAATCCCACATGACTAAGAAACATAGAAGAGCATCCCAAAAGTCTAAAGAGTAAAAATATGAGAACAAAACAATATCACATTGCTAAGAAACATAGAAGCGCATCACAACTAACTTCTATAAATAATAGAGATAATTTGACATTCAAAATCATGGAGTCTTTTGGTGAGTATTGAGTGAACTATTCTTTCACTTCAATCAAGCTCGAATTTTAGGCTTCAATCGAGCTTCTATTTTTTTTTTGAGTTTAAGCCTTTTTGAGTTCAAGTTTCAATATTATATTTCGAGTTTGAGTTGAACTTGATAATTTTTAGTTTGTGAGTTTGAGTTGAGTTGAGCTTACTTTTAAAGTTTTCAAGTTCGAGTCGAGCTCAGCAATACTCGAGTTCGACTTGGCTCGTTTAACAAACGACGTTGTTTGGTTTAATTTTTTTTAAAAAAAAAACAAAAATCTCGGTCCGGTCCGGTTTTCAAAATATAGATCATAACATGGTGTGGCTTCCAATTACTCACTATATTCTTTAGACTTCATTATTATTATTTGTTCTGTTTTCTAATTATTATTTATGTTTATAGTAAATTATTGAAAGAAATTTCTTTATTTTTTTACTGTCTTAGTTAATTCGATGGGACTCTTTTATATTTAAATCATTGAATAAGCAGATGAAAGACTTGCGTCTAATGTAAATATATTGTCATGCCAAAGCTGTACTCGTTATGCACTTATTGTTAGAAGCGGATGGGGAAATGCAACAGATTAATTTAATTTGACGCTCTTTGTGTAAGCTACTTTTTGGGTGCAGTTTAATTAACCATCTATGCCTACATCTAAAGTATTTCCCTAATTGTACGAGATGATTCAATTGAACATGTAGCAATCCCTTAATGACGACGCGTCATCAATGCCATAAACCAATTAGAAAGTCAGTTAAGAGTTGTATAATTATGTCAAGATTTTTATTTTAATGTTCATCTCTTTCTGTTGTATTTTTGTTGTTTGATGTGATCGATATTTTAACAAAGACATTTAATAATTATTTTTCTTGATGTATCGATATTGACTGAAATTCTTGTTGTTAAACATGATTGTATCATTTTTTTAGCTTCAAAATGGGTGAGTAATATCAGGCTTATTCTTGAAAGCAATAACAAGATTATAGTCTAGTTCTTGACTTATTTAAAATTGTAATACTCTCAATCTGGTCTAGTCATAGACCACATCATTGATATCACAATTGTTCTCTGACCAATAAGGTAAGTTGAAACATGAGTTTATTCATGACCAATAATTTAAGGGCATTAGTTTAGTGTGTTGGGAATAGACACGTTGACATCTTTAACAAATGCTACCTCGTTGGTGTCGCCGCCCTAGCTTTGTGGCTACCCAAAGCCTGGTAAGAGTTGAAGCTTTTGTTGCAAACCCTGCACTTGTGGCTAACTTTTCCGTCTTCTGTACCCAGTGACTGCGATGGAGGTGGTAAGGTATTTGAAAAAAAAAGTTAGATGGTTTTGAGGGTAAATTAGATATAAAATCATTATTTAAGGATTCATTTGATATTTTAACAGTAGTTTAAGAGTAAAATTAAGTCTAAACCCCTTTTTTAAGGTTGTCACATCAAAAGTTTAACGGAGACGACGATGGAGTGAGATCATTTTATTACAAACCGCTAACGTTAGTGATTAATACGTTACTTTTAAAACTTCAATGGAGAAAATAAAAACTTACTCAAACATTAGTATTCGTATATGTAGTTTATCTTAAATGTTTATATGAATTACAATTAAACATTTTAACCAACAACCAACTTGCCTAGTCAGATGCGACACTAGATTCCTTAAGTAATGTTAAGGGTTCGAACTCTAACGTTTACGAATGGAGCAAACTGGTTGAGAGGGTGTCCTCGTCTCTGTAGTATTTGATCTGAATTAGTCAGTCAATAAATCAGATATCAGTGATTAATTCAAGAAAAATTAAACATTTTGATATTCTATAATATTAAACAATTAATCTTATAAACTATGAAATAAATTGATTTTCTATGGATTTTTTTCGGTGGTTGAGTTTGGAATAAAAATAAATTCACCAAAAAAATTATGAAATAAATTTTATTAAAAGTTTTTGTATAAATATTTAAATGTTATAATCTTCCATTGTCAAAAGTAGATTATTATAATATAATTATCTATTTTTTTTTAATTTTGTAGACATTAAGAATAATATTTCAAAAATATAAAAATTATGCAGTCTAATAAATTTGTTTTTGTTAAAAGTCAACTTTTATATTTGTTGTGTCAATATAACAATTCATATATTTTATATAGGACTCAACTTAAATTATAGATATAATATTTTAATCTCAAACTTGATGCTATTTTTAAAATATTATTTATTTATGTTAAAAGTCCCTATAGTTTTTTTTTTTTAATTTTTTTCCTCTAAAGGTGTGTTTTATTAAATGCACTTTGCCACATGTACAAAAAGTGTTTTTCTATAGAAAGTACTTTTGCTGACTTGGATGCCACGTCAGAAATTGCCATGGATTGCTACTAGATCACATCATCACTTTTATATCACGCTTTAACTTAATGGTTCATAATTTGCATATATTATACTTAACATAAAATATACATAACTACTAATTTAACAACATGGCTCAAGCATCATGCAAACACATATTGCAAAATTATATATATAGACATTATTCTTGGAATTTAGTAAAATACCAATACACTGATAAAAGAAAACTCAAAGATTACACTGATAAAATACCATTTTTTTTATTTTCGTCCTGAGTCTAGAAATAGTTCGGACCAACCTTGTCTATAATCATGATTTAGTCATAGTCAATATCAGTCACAATAACAATGGTGGTTTTCATGAAAAAAACATCAGCAATAACAAAAACAAAGATCATGAATATAATGTTAGATTCAATAAATGTCCAATGGTACTCTTTCTACATACAAAAACACAAATTCCTTACGTCATTATATACTAATGACGATTTGAAAGTTGTGGAACTGGTGGATGGATGGTGGTTGGAAAGTGATGGGCCAACGGACGGAGAGAGGGTGACAAAAATGAAGGGGCACTGACTTGAATGCTAGGCAAATTTTAGGATTTGAGCGCTTTCTTTTGATCCAGGAGTTGGAGGGTTGATTTGGGTCTAGGGTTTGTATTTTAAGTATTTTGATTTTCTTTTTATTTTAAATATTACATGGCATTATATATAAACAAAATATACCATGTCATAGTAAAATGCATCATATTATTGGAAAATATTAATAAAAAAAGTTATATCAGTTTAGAGTGATTAAAATATGATTAATTCGAAGTTGAGTGATTAAATTAAAAATATAATTTTTTTAATGACTAAGATAAGAGTTAAAAGATAATTAAATAATGAACCGTATAATTTATCCTTTAATTTTTAGTTGATGCTATATGTTTTATATGTCTTATGTGGGATGCATCTTTTCTTACATTATTGATAAAAATTTAATAGGTTATAAAAAAAGAAGGGAAAAATAACATCCGCAGCAGATAGGCTATTAGATTAATCATCTCTGATTATTAAAAAAGATTTACTATTTATGATTTATCTAAATTATTTGTATTAGAAATGAGAACAAAATCACGTGACAAAAATCACATGCCAAAGCATACCATCATTGTCATGTTACATGTGTCTCATAATTCTATATTAAAAGATGAATTTATAAAAATTTTATGGACGAGTAACCTCACCGGCCGACTTGATCCATCCCTGGTTGCCACTGTATGCGACCTTAAACGCTATGCTCAGCCGCCGCTTCTGTCTGCCCATCATCGCCATTACCATCTGCTCCATTTATTCTTTCAAACTCAATATATTTATACCACTTAGCGCATATTACGTAGATCACAAGATCAACCGATGTCAAAGCTGCTAGCATGAAGAAAAACAGATCCAAATGACCATTGTTAAGGTTGCTAGGGATCCATCCAGGCAGATCATCTTTTCTCGATACTTTCATAACGATTGTCACCAGCAAATCACTTACGTAATTTCCAAGTGATATTGATGTCATGCAAAGTGCACTCCCAAAGCTCTTTAAACCATCCGGTGCTTGTCCGTTAAAGAACTCCAATTGACCGACGTACATGAACACCTCCGATGCTCCGATCAGCATGTACTGTGGGATTTGCCAGAATATGCTCAAAGAGCTTGCGTTTACACAGTTGGGGCAGTCTTTTTTTGCGTCATTCAATCTCCACACTTCCACTACACCAGCTGCGACCATTGCTAGTATAGCTATAACAAGGCCGATCCCCATTCTTTGAAGCTCGGTGAGACCCTTTGGTTCAGACTTTATTTTTGCAACAATGGGGTCAAGAGCAAACCTGTAAAGGAAAATGAACATCGCCACGCTGAGTATGTCGAAGCTAGACATGCCAGCCGCCGGGATGTTGAAATCGGAAATGTTGGTTTTCATGGCGGTGCCTTGTTCGACGAAGAGAGATGCCATTTGAGTGAAGACGACGGAGTAAAGTATGGTGCATAGCCAAATTGGGAGGAGTTTCAGTATGCATTTCACTTCTTCAACTTGTGTTACTGTGCAGAGACGCCATGGATTGCGACCGTAAAAGTTTTTATCTTGCTTGGAGGAGTGATCTTTGGGTGTCATAATTGCTGCTTTATCCAAAAATCTGAGATTAAAAACTATTAGGAACAATTTTAACAAGAAGAACATGTTAGTAATACTAAGTTTTCATACATGAACCTACCTGAAACCATCTGTATGGAGTATCTTTCTGTCACCATTCAAGGCAGATTCCATTTTATCCCCTTCAAACAAATTCTCTTCTCCTTGATTCGTCTTAGCCTTCCATTTTCCTGTTGCAGCAACCAATACTTGGCAAAACCTCGAGAGAGGGTTGCCCTTGGGTTCGAAGTGTCTATACCTGGGTGTCCCAATCAGAAAGAGGACTAGTGCCAAAAAGGCAGAGGCAGTGGATGCCCAAAATCCAAGTGGCCACATGCCCTGATCCTCAAAGTAGCCCAAAACAGTATCTGAAAAGAGTGATCCAAGGTTCAAAGCCAAATAGAAGTAGCTAAAGAAGGCTACTTTTGATTTCCCTTCTTTAGGGTGTTCCTCATCAAACTGATCAGCCCCGAAGGTGGCTATGTTCGGCTGGTAACCTCCATTTCCTAGGGCTACAAGGTATACCGATAAGTAGAAGAAGACGATATGGAAAGTGGAGTGAGATCCGCACGGAGTTCGTTCATCACCGCAGCCGCGGGGTTTGAGTAAGAACACAGAGGATGAAACCGATAACAATACCAATCCCTGTAGTGTTCCAAATTGAAACAACCTTGCATTAGGCCATTTCCACCCATATATATGTATATGAAGAAAGGAATTGAACTTACAACAACAAAGATAGCTTGGAATATGGCACAAGTCTTGTACCTTCCCCAGTAAGAGTCACTAAGGAAGGCACCGAGGAGAGAGAAAACGTAGACCGTCCCAAGCCATTTGCTGACGTCGTTTGCAGCGGCGGCTGCATTGTCTTGGCCGAGCACCCTCGTTAAAAATAGCACCAGGTTCACCCCGACTCCAAAGAATGCCAACGTTGCCAACCCTTGGTTAACTGAACATCATGATATATATATGAACATTCAAAACAAATTATAGAGAAAATTTGCATGCATGAAATTCCATATATATATATGTGAAGATGTACCCAAGAGTAGAATTACAGAAACCCAAGTTCCAGTTCTGGCTCTAATAGCAGGTCGACCATGTCGATCCACAGCTCCATCTAATGTGTATACCTCTTCACCCATTTCCATCTTTTCAATACTTACCTAATATATAGTTTCAATCAGTTTACAACATAATTAAAAGTATATACCATTGCCATACCAGAAGAAATCATGTCCATCAGATATTGTTTATTGAACCAAGGGTTAACACTGGACCCAGTATACATGTATACATATAGGATAGGATATCCAATATTACGGAGATTTGAGCTTCATAGATGATGAAAATTCAAGTGGGGAAAAAAAAGATGATCACCAACCCTTTGGAAGTGTTATTTAGACAAGCCATATATGATGTTAACTACACAAAAAATAGGTAAGAATATATTATAGCTTGAGAGAAGAAGAGAGTAAAGGGCAGACAGGAGAATCGTTTGAAGGAGATGCTTATTGGAAGGATGGGCGACCGTATCTGTATATATAGAATCAAATTGCAGCAATTAATGGACGTTTGAAATTTGTTGGAGAGGCGAAAAACAACAGGATGGTCCATGTAGTGAAACTTTGAACATGAAAAGCAATGCAAATAGCTTCGAAAGCAAGGGTAATGGCCTAATGGGGTTGAGGTTTAGACCGAGGGGGACCACACAAAAGTGAATATTAGTGAGGCGTTGTGGTCACCTTTTTTCGCCCAGGTGAAAAAAAAACTAGTATGATTTGGGATTTTTTTCTATGAAAGATTTGAAATGTGAGGAGTCGCTGCCAATCATTTTAAGATGTAATGAAATACCAAAAAATTGGGTAATTTTAATAAAATATTTTAATTTATCAAAAATATCAAATTTGGGTTTGCAAAAACTAGAAATCAAGTTCGGGAGTCGATTACTCTTAGAGAATGACTAGCACCTCCACATCGCCCAGAAATTGATACTTAATCGATCACCTTATATTTAAAAGTTAGAAATTTTGAGTTCAAGGTTTTATTTAATTTAAAATTTTACTATGGATTCACAATTGAAAATGATGCTCGTTTATTTAAGGCAATAGCGTTCGCTCCTAGCATGAATGCAGAGAAGATCAATTATTATGTCCAATAATCAAACATTGCCTTGGAATTTTGGAAACATGACAGGGTTTTCTAAAAGGACGTCGACATACTTCGGGAATCACCAGTAATCAACCCTTGAGCATATTTGCGGGTGACTCCCTAATAAGTGAACATTGTCTTGGGTTTGAAAACATGATACAATCAAACAATTTATTATTAAACCTAATTAAACTAAGGGTTGATTAAGACTTTTTCTAACTTAAAGTGTCAATTATGTGATTTAAAGAACCTAAGGGACTAAACCTAGAAATAGAGACTCTAATATTAATCCTATTTGATTTAAACCAGTTATTTGGATCGAATAATCGAGATGGTCCCTTGAGCATGAAGGCGAGGGCCAACTCATATTATTCCCTAAATTAAAAGACTAGAGTGAAATCTAACCTAATATGGAGGTTCTAATTAAAGCCTAATTAATTATGTTAAGAGAAAACCTAATTAAAAGGCTAAAGGCTAAAGTGGAAAGAATCTAGATCTAAAAGGCTAAACTTGAAGTCTAAGGTTCTAATTAATGACTAAATTAAGAGAAACCTAAATATAAAGGTTCAATCTACAAATTTAAAAATCTAGGATTAAATTAAGATAAAATAAGATACATAAATTGAGAAAATTGTGAAAACATATAAATAAGAAATTAAAGGATTAATTAGAAAATTTGAAATTAAAATAAATAAATAAATAAATCACCCATTAAGATGTAAATTAACAATAATTAAAGTCTCACGTTCAAAACAAAAAATTAGTGGCTAAATTGATATGAAATAAAGTCAAACATCAAATTTACGAAGGATAAAAACATGCAAACATGGACTAACATGCAACGAAAATAAAATTCAACAGCCAAATAAACAAAAAAAAAACAGTAATCTTAAATTAGTGACTAAATTAAAAAGTAGCTAAAATTAAGCATGAAAAAAATCATAATTATGACAGTGACCAAAATATAAAAACACAGCTAAATGAGAGGGACCAAAACACATTTTTCCATTTTAAACCTAACAAACTAAAGAATAAACATAAAAGGAAAAATCATGCAATTAGGACACCAAAATTTAAAATAAAATAAACAAGCTTAAGATCAAGGACTATGATGCAAAAATACAACAAAGGTATAGGGGCTACTACATGAATAAACCATGAATTTAATTATGGATGAACAATGAACAAAAAAAGTAAACTAATAGCATAAGGACATGAATATCGAATTAAAATAAAAAAGGACAGATGGGTGACCATTTTGTAAAAACATGGATAATCTTGGGGGACCAAATTGAATACGTAATATAGTTACAAGGACCGTAGAGAGGGTTAGACCCTCCGGATCTTAAATGTACGTATGGGAGCCCAAAACGACGTCGTGTGCTAGGGATATGTAAACCCCCTTTTCTTATATTTTTCTCATTTTTTCTTCTTCCCTCTCTCTCCTCTCAAAAAATGCTCTCGCCGACTTTTCACCGTACCGGCTGCCGTCTCCGGCTAAAAACTTCAGGGCTAGCTACCATGCATCATCGACTCGAATTTCGTTTGTCACGATCTAAGATGCAACCTACTTGATAAAATATTATTTAAGAGGGAAACAAAAGAATCTGTGATGAATACGAAGATTATTTAATTAATATAATAATACGATTTTATACCTAATGTTTTCTCAAGTGATGATGCAATTTTATAATCTTATACAATTTTCAATATAATAATTTTTTTTCTGCTATATGTGATTTTTTCCTTTAAGATTTCCGAATAAAATTTGCGCGTTCTGTCATATTTTGTTTGTTTTGGTTTAGACTAAGCTAGCTTTGTTGATATTAACATGTTCAAACCTGCTCCAGCTCTGCTTTTGCACATCTGATGAATTTGTAGGAAAAAGTAGCAGCCTCAACTACAAAGAATAACACCTCTTTGGATGAATTTTGACCAATAATTAGTATTTTGTCTTAATTTTTGACTTTTTACTTAAGTTTAGATTTTATTAATAAAAATAATCAAAATTACAACGCGAGAATATTAGGAATAATAGTCACCAAAAAACTTTTATATAAAATAAAAATACCAAACCCAAAGATACGAAGAAGCATTAAACAATATTCCATTAAGAATGACGTCTAACATCATAACAACTCAGTAACCTTCATAAAACCCTTTGTCACTGTCGAATGAGATGCTTTACGAAATGATAAAGAAGTAGCGAGCGAATCAAACGATTTGATAGGTTACTTCACCACACAATTCTGATTATATCGGCAAATAACCTTTTTATCAAAGAGGGATCTGACAATACATGACCACCGAAAAACTAATCCGAAAACAAATGTCATGAAGAATCTTTGTGCGAGCATCAACGCGACTGTCGAGGTATGTGAAAACGTACCAAAAGACATAAGAAACATGTCATAAGAGCAGAGAAAAAATGTGTCATAAAAGTAGAGAAAAACTTGTCACTAAAACAAAAATTCTTATTTAAAATTAAAAGAATTTAAAAAAAAACAAATAACATATAAAAAAGAATAAAATAATAATAATCACCGACGGTAAGAACCGCTTCCATTGAATAAATAACTTCATTTCTATGTTCTCGAACTCTAAACATGGACTATAAAATAAATATGAAAAACAAGAGGAAATCATGAGTTTCACAAGGAAGGTGGAATACCCCATTAGCCATTGTTTCTACAAAACCCACATTAGCCATTGTTTCTACAAAATGAAAGCTTAATTCTTGTCAATCAAAGTATACCCTTATTAAAGAGTTAATTGCATAACATGTCTTTAAAGTATGATTCTCATTTCAAATTGTTCCTTAAATTTTTAAATATTTTAATTTCATCATTAAACTATGACTCATTCTAAATTAGTCCTCAAATTTTTGAACAATTTAATTTCATCCCCAAACCATGACATTCATTCTAAATTGGTCCCTAAACTTTTTTTACATTCCAATTTTATCGCAGACTATATGTATATACTAATCACATCCCTTGTTAAACTATACAGTTATATTATTGTATGTTAAAAAAAACAAAATCAAGGTTAAACTATGGTTGAAACTAATTACATATTTTGATGAATTTAGGGATGAAATTGGAAGATTCAAAAGTTTTGGGACCAATTTAGGAAGTGGGCTATATTTTAAGTATGTAATTAGAATGTTCAAAAGTTTAAGCACTAATTTAAAATGAGAGTCATTGTTTATGGATGAAATTAAAATATTTAAAAGTTTAATAACCAATTTAAAATTAGAGTTATAGTTTAGGGATATATGATGCGATTAACTCACTATTAAATGAATATCGAATTCGTGTATCCAACGCATGCGGACTTGTATGTGTATATAGACCATAGGTATGGACGTATTATATATAGATGTCTTCTCTAGTGTAGCTCGAGGGTTTGAGACCCGTTTCAACTATTAAATGAATATGGAATTCGTGCATCCAACGCATGCGGACTTGTGTATGTGTGTATATATATAGACCATAGGTATGGAAGTATTATATATAAATGCCTTCTCTAGTGTAGGTCGAGGGTTTGAGACCCGTTTCAACGTCAGCAATTTTCATAATAATATTCATGAGTGACTCAACTGTCCACAACTCCACATCATGCACCACCCAAGCCCCAAGAATATAAACTATACTTCCCTTTGTATATCTTCATCGAGTGATGGGATGAGGGGAGACGGTTAAGATGATTTATATATTCTAAATATATTTTTATTTATAATCTATTTTCGTCTTCCAAATTATTTTAAATTCATCTTCTCCTAAAATATTATAAATTCATCATTCTAGCATAAAAGCATATGCTTGTGTCTTCCATCATCCTTATATGCCAATATGCCATCACTATTTGCATCATATAATACTTTTTATAACCACCAATCTTAACAGTTGAGTGTGTGAGACAATTAATAGACAATATGCATAGACCCAATACCATTCTAAATCAACCCAACTTAATTGATTATGCAGCCTAAAGAAGCCTAATAGGCTATGCCGTGATGATGGGACGTAGGCCAATTCAAAGTTCAAACTATACCAAACCTACATTTACAATTATTCCATTACTTT